ATTTTTCATATAGTATATCCTTCAACACGCTGTGGTACTTTGTGACTTTTTTTTAAATTCCTTGAAATGTTTCCATGTTTTCCTTTTCTCTACGCCTTTTTATATATTTTAAATTTTTTGTTTAATTTTTTGATAATTTTATTTTAAAGTGCTCTGCCATTTGTAATCGCATAAATCTTTATTGTACAGCCATAAGTCGCACAATTCAAACATAGGCCTATCAAAAAAAGCATTTCATGTATGCTGCGAATATAAACATACATAAATATATATGTATAAACGTGTGTATGTGCACTTAAAAAATTTTTTCTGGCAGTATGTTGGCTTATAAATACACTTGCACGGTAGCTGCGACAGCAAAAAAAAAAAAAGATGAAAAAATAGCCGACTCGAATGGCAAATAAAACAGATTCATGTGAATGCATGCAGTCTCATATATTAAGGCTCACACTATTTGTCATGAAGAGTTTGTGTGTGTGTTTTTTTCGGGCTGCTGCAAAATGATGCAGTGGCAAAATTTTTTTGTTTGCAAAGTTATTTTAATTTATTTTTTTTTCATTGGCAATTTTTTTTATATTGTATTTGAAGAGAAAATTGTGAGGCTGAGTGCAAAAATCCTGATTTTTTTGTTATAAATTTTCCTAGGATATATTACGAATTGAGCCTGGCATGTCATCCATATTGCTGCCGTGTGATATTTTATAATGAAAATCCCTTTTTGTTGTTATTGTTTTCCACTGCACTGCAGTGGCATACTGCAATATATCTTTTTTTCTTTTCTCGCCGACTGTCAATGTGTGTATATACGGCCCTGAATAATACCAAAAACTCATCCATTTTGTTTTATCAGCGTGAAAGGCATGCTGTGTGAAAATGCACAATTTTCACATTTTAACTAAATTTATCGCCTGAATGGTAAGCGGCGGCTATGGGCATACGCAAGCTTTAGTTTTTTCGGTGTAGCAGAGTGTGTGTATGTTTGTGCATGTGTGTAAATAAATCCGCCAATGAAAGGCCAATAAATAAATTAAAGTAATACCCGGGCTCTATGCACACAAAAACAACAACAAATGAACCTGTACAACAATAACAATACGAAAAACTGAAATTAAATACAACAACAAGAACGTGTTTAAAAGTGTAAAAGTTCTCCAAAAACACAAAAGGGCAGCAGGAGGATAACACATATTCCCTAGTATAACACATGTGTTTATGTGTATGTTTGTCACAGTAAAAGGGGTTGTTGAGATCCATTAAATCCTCCCAACACCACCACACACAACATACCCTTTCATACCAAATCGAATACTAATTTCATTGGCTCTGTTTTGTTTTCAGCATTTGTTTTTGTTTTTCAAGCTCCATGAATTGAAATTTATTATAAACTAAAAGCAATTTATGTTTATCGACAGCATAATGAATCTCCTTCTGGTATATCAATGACTTTTGATGTCCAGGGTATAGAGAATGGTCCCTTGTTAAAGGATAAACAAATAAAATAAAATGTATTTATTCATTTTATTTTTATTATATGGATATATTCATGCATTCATTCACCAGGGTTTTAACATCAACTGTAAATGGACATACATATGTTGGATCACACACATACACACATACAGAGACAAACATTTGCAATATATGGCAAATCCTTTTTGAAAACAAACAAATAACACTAAGGATAACAATGTACAACAACATGGTATATTTATATCCCGTTTTTCTGGACTTTGCCCACTCAACATCCATATGTCATTTGGGTGTTGAAGTGGAGCTTTATTTGTTGTTGGATTTTTAAGGTATATCATCATAACCCAGCAAAAGTATTTTTAAAGGGCACAAAAGGATACGGATTGATGTAGTTCTAAAGCATTAACACATTCAAGGAAATTTGTTATTTAGGACCAGAGTTAAAAAATGCTGGTCATTTTAATATTCTTAAAAAATCTCAAAATTGTTTTGAGGTACCTAATTAAATTTTTAATTTTCAAAATTATTTGAAATCTTTTTAAACTCCCTAATTTGTACATAATTCCTATCCCTTGACTCAAAAACTTCCCTTTGGTCCTTGACACTTATTATAATGGAGGTTCCACGGTCTATATATTTGTATACCATTTCGATTTTTTATTCCCGCCAATATTTCTCAATTATATATTAGTGCTAATATTGCACTTTTTCCCAGTTCCATTCCTGACCTCCCCAGCTTATTAGCCTTAGTTGCTCTTTATTATTTCTCGCTTCAATTGGTTTGCATGGTATGACCATTTGTACACTTTGTTGGTGTTTTATTCTTTTTCTGACCAATACAAGTGTGAGTTGTGTAAATATGTTTACATTTACGAGCCGCAGAATCACTTAAGTGTGTAATTGTATATTTATCTGTTTTCATTTGACAAAATATCAACAATAACAATCACTCTTAATGTCACGTATTTTTATATACAATTGTTCTGTTCAAATGTATGTGAGATATGTATGTGAGTGTGAGTATTTGCGAATACAACATATGTTTTTTTTTTTTGGTTTGAGAATTTATGTATGTGAGTAAATGCGAATGAGGGGATGTATTTATTATTTTGTTATTGCTAAGTGCAAGTTAAGTCCAACCCTCTCTTTTGAGTTTTTGTTGTATTTTTTTATTTACAACCTCCAATTGCATTGATACTTTTGTTCGGTTAACGATAACAGATGGTAAGCTTGTACAATAGAAAGAAAACTCAACAAAAATCATTTATATTAAAAAACATATATTCTTATAAATCAAATGCATATGTAATAAATAAAAAAAAACAATACTTAAACCAAAATCATACAAAAAAAAAAAAACAATATTTTATTTAATAAAATTCATATATAATAAATAAAAAACAATACAATATTTTTACTAAATTTTCATATATTTTTGTTGCTAACAAAAAAAATTATTTTCATTTTATTAAAGTGGAAAATTTCTTAAAATATATTTACAATATTTTTATATGTGTTTATGTGTCTTTTATTGTCAAATAATATTTTGCTCGGCATAACTATTTGTGTTTATTTTCTAAAAATATACATACAATAAATTCAATAACATATTGTTTAATTTTTATATGCCCTAAGTTTATGCATTTTTTGTTAATTAGCAAAACAAAAATTGCTTGACATATTAATGTGTATTTTTCCAAATTGTGTTAATAACCTCAACAATTTTTATTTGGTTTTCATTTTTTCATTGCAAAATTTACTAATATTATTTTTTTATAAAATTTATTTATTGGCATGCTTTATTTATTTGAAGGGAATGAAATTGATATATTACAAGATCTCAAAATATTATTTTATGTTTTATATTTAATATTTTTTTAATAATTACTTTAAAAAAATATATAAAGAAAACAAAAAAAATAATTAATACTCTTATTTTTTGTAAAGAAAAAATTAAAAAAAATATTTTAAAATTCTATGCAACATATAACATATTCCCAAATACAAAAACAATTTTTATATGTAACATTAAATATATAAAATATTTTTAAAATTTTTTTGAAAAGAAAAATAAATTAATAAACAAAAATAATTTTTGTTCTAAAAAGAAATTAAAATATTAACAATTAAAAGACTCAATCTGATTAAAAATTGTATATTAAATATCTGAAATATTGTTTAAAATTTGTTTTTACAAAAAATATTAATTTTTACACAAAAATAAATTAAATAATTTTGTTTGTCAAAAATATTTATAAAATATTTTTATGAAAAAGATTGCGATTTTTTAATTTTTCTGTTAAATGTTCCTCAAAAATAATTGTTATTAATGCCTAATGAAACATTTATTTTTGATAAAAAAATTAAATGAGAAAAAAATTATGTTTTTAAAAGTCAAGTCTGATTTAATTAATTTTGTGGTTGTTAATTTGAGCTATATATTCAAATTAAATTTTTTATATTATATATATATATATATATATATATATATATATATATATATTTTTTTTAATAAATAGAAAACTTAAAAAAAATATTTTTTATTCCATAAAATAATACAAAAAAAAAAAAATAAAATAGTAAAAAATAATAAATTCTTTTTGTGGAAAATAAAAATCAATATTTTGTATTTTTTTAGTTTTAGGAATAAAAAGAAATATGTTTTAGCTACTTATTTGTTTAATATTTAACATTTTGTCAATTAATTTCATTCCTTTTAATTTATTATTATTATTTTCTTATTTTTAATTTTTCTTTATTTTATTTTATAACGAATTTAATTTACATAACAATATTCTAAACATTACACCATATAGGAGAAGTGCTGTTACTCCAAATTAAAAATAAATAATATATATTTAAAAATGAACACATATATATTCAAATTTTCTGTATACATATTTTTTGAATATCCAAAAACAACAAATAAATAAATTATCAATAAATCATGGGAATTAGGAAATTAGTTTCAATCTCTCAATTTATATTTTTATTTTTTTGGGAGTTTTAACAATTTTTTAAAATTTAAATGGGTAATTGATGGGAGTAGACATACATCACATATAACTTCGATGGAAATTTTCAAATTAACGACATTCTAAATCTACTCTCGATATGAGAAATAAAATAAAATGAGAACCCATACCATTTGGTACAAATGCAAAACAAAATATTTCTCCTTCAAAGAATGGTCCAGTGTTTAGATAGTTTTGCTTATTTTTGTTGAAATTATTTAAAAAATAATATATATTTTTTGGTTAATATTTTCGTTCAAATTTTAAAATTTTCCCTTTGAATTTTGTTTCCTTTAATTTTTATTTCAATAAGTTTAATTTTTTTATTTATTCCTATTGGCCGGTTAATATTTGAGTTTAGAATTTTTGCCTGTAATTTATTTATTTTGATTGATTAGATTAGCTTGAGAATTTATGTTTTCCATTAATTTCGAAACCCATGGTAGGGCTTTATGATTTGCCACACCACAAAAAAATCTTCAAAAAATCACCTCATGGCCTGAATTTTAATTACAGGCAAACATGGACAAACTGATGGAAATATGAATGGGCTGAATGAAAAAAGGAACTCCATAATTGATCCCAGTAAGTATTGTTTCTTTTGGTTTCCAAATTTCGAACAGTTAGTTTGGCAGTTAAATAGGGCAAAGAGGTTTTGAAAGGAGGAGTTGTTTCTCCTATAAATGGTGTAATGTTATATGTCTTACTAATAGCATCCTTAATTATATATTTGAAATGTTTTTTTTTACAAAAATAATTAACCAATTTGTTATTTCTGTCTTCTTTTGTTACAGGTAAGAGATACTCAGAATCTCTTGCGGGCTCATTACTACCAGATTGGTTAGGTAAGTACACAAAACAAATTATGTTTTTTGTTTTTATATATAATTTTTTACATTTAAGTTTTTTGTATTTTATTTTTGATAAGTTTTATTTTTTGGTTTTGTTTTTTGTAACCCCCAAATTTTTGTATTTAAGTTGCTAATAATTGTGTGTAACTAGTATTAGTTTTTGAAAAAAATATATGAAAATTAATTGGCCGAAAAAGAAACTAGAAAAAGGATTTTGATTTTGAAAAAAAAAAATATTCCCCGCCTTGTTAAAAAAGAAATATTCCTAAAATTAAATTGGCAATTTTTTAGAAGAGCTTTTTGTATGGAAATTCCCCCATGAAACTCCCCAACTTTTGATTTTTGTGGTTATTGTTTTTGGAAAAAATAATCCCCTGTGGTATTTTTTTCGAAAGAAAAAACAATAACAATATGATTTTCATTTTTGTATAATTTTGTTACAAAGTTTAAACAAATTTTAATTTATTTAAACCAATATCAAGTCTCGAACATGTGAGGATATTAGCCAGAGAAGGGAGAGCGTGTAAGCTATCCAAGTGAGCTAAACAGAAAGGAGGTAAACCAGAATGTAAATGAATGTCTTGTGATAGATGTTGTGATTTTAATTCCCTATTCTTTTTCTTAATAATATTTAGAAAATATGCCCATAATGATATATCCAAGAGAATTTTCCAAAAAAATAAAAAACCAAGCAGCATGTGCATGTTCCATAACTTCCAACATAATTATATATCCCTTCCACCCCCTTTTTAAATAGGTGTACATAAATTCCGCATATATTTTCAATGTTATTAAGACATATATAGCAAATTTTCATTTTCACACACGGTGAATTATCCGCTATGTATTATTGTATTGTAACTAACAAACCAAAAACAAAACACTTCCATTCAAATCCATAATACAATTACTTATTTATATACATACATACTTATATTTGATGTTACATTGACACGCAACATATAAAAAAATATTAAATACGAGTAACAAATATATAAAAAAAAATCTTGTTTTTCTTTTTCGTTTTTTTTTTTTTTTTTTTTGTTATTCGCTGCTACACTGTTGCAAGTTTAACAGTGTAACTATTTTCACGCATGCATTTGTATTTCCTTGCAACAATTTGTGTGTGTGTGTGTGTGGTATACAGTGGGGCAATGTAATAAAAAATGGGAAATTTTCTATAATTTCAAAGGACTGAAAAAAAATGAATTAAAACAAATCGGGCAACACCCTTTTCAAAACTTAAACCCAAGATTCTTTGCCACTTGTTAACCTCTTGGGACAGATATGGGTGATCTTGGCCAAGGTCGTGTAATTTTAGCATCAAAACTAAATCATTTTGAAATTATTGATACATTTTTGTCTGATTTTAAAGAAGTGGTGAACCAAACATTCAACATTTCTCCGATTGGCATGGATTGCCGTATTGAAACTAGAATTGCAATCGGTTCAGTTTTGCCCGATTGACATAAACTTCGAAATTAACCTAGAATGACGTTTGACAAACTTTGTTTAAATCGGTTCAAATTTCAATATGAACAAAATATCCAATATATCATTATATGGAAGCTATGTGAAAACTTTTTATGATATACCCCATTTTCAATACTGAGCTTCCTAGGAGTGGTATGAAAGTATGTGCAGGGTTTAAACAGACTGTCATAGACTTTAGGGGGCTCCGATGACTATATAGAAATGCTGGAAACAAAAGGAAATTTTTAAATAATATGGTGAAGGATATAAGAAATATTTTTACTATGGAGAAATATTTTTACTTTCATAAATTTTTTAGATAGGCCTTCATATTATGGAAATCTTTTATATAGCACACTGTCCACATTTATGCTACATTTATGTCGTTAAACAAAAAAAATATTTTTGTTTTACTTTGAACTCCCACAAGTCCCACTGTGCGACCATAGATATACTAAATTAAGTTACATGCATTACAGCATTAAACAAACATTGAGTGCAAATAGTTATAATATATCATATATATAAATACAAACATATATATAATTCAAAACAAAACATGTTCACACTTTGTAAATCAAAATGTTATGATTTGTTGTAATTAAAATTTCAGTAAAGAAAAATAAAACATTGTAACTATGCTTAAAATAAAGTGTTAACTGAATAACTACAATTATACGCCAGATTGAAATTACTTCATATGAAAATAATGACAAACAGTTTTTAAATATTCATAATTTTTAAATATTCATAAAAGAAAAAATCAATAAATCTTCGTCTTCTCTTGGCCAAATGAAGAATGAATTGTGTGATTTCTATTTCTGTTGCCAAAGGCCAACTCATAAACTGTCTATACAGACATCTCTACACGTTTTTTTTTCGGATATATATTACCAATCATAATTCATATTTATCACAGGGGCATTTACATACAAAAACAAATTTGTTGCTTTTTAATGACTTCCTGACGAATGAATGAAAGACGAAAACAAAACAAAAACAACAACATAACACACATATAATAATAACAACACACATATAATAATAACAACAATTACACAAATATAAATTGTTGTAAACATGTAGTAATAAATAATAAAATTGAAAAACTGTTTCTCGATTTCCGCCGGAAAACTTTCGCACTTGTTATACTACTCTTTGTGTGTGCGTGTCGAATAAACAATTCAACAGAATTATGGAAAGGAAGAAAGAAAGAAAAATTCATATTCTTGTAAATTTATTAAATCAAAACTCTATTGTAGAAAAATGTCAGAAAAAATATTTTTTTTACAAAAATTTCATTTTATATCTCAGGCTTTGCTTTGCAACACTAAAATATAATTCATTCAAAATAAGAATAATAAAACTGTCTTTTGCAAACCCAAGGCAATTTATTTTCCCAGCCAATTCATTTGTACTTCCTCAGCAGGCCTACACACGAGTATATCCCAAAAAACGTAAAAACGACAAATAAAATAAATTTATGATGATTTTATACTTATTAACAATGAATAGCCTAGCTGGCATATATCGATATACATAAATGGAAAATCCTGGAAAATGGCATCTATTAGTACATGGACAGTAAATTATTGAGCTCATAGAAACCACAAAAGCCAGTAAGAAAAAAATCGGTTGAAACAAATTAAAAAATTGCTTAGTAAACTTTCTCATTTACATTTGGAAAAAATAAATAAAATCAAAGTAATAAATTTTGTAAGGCTTTTCAACCAGCCATCCAACCTTCGATCTACCAAAATAGAGAAAAAACGAGAGATTTTTGTCAATCTCTTTTCTTGAAGAAATGAACATTTCTCCTTTCCTTTTGCTCACCACTGTATCATATGTGTGTGTGCGGTTTTGTCTTGTCTGTCCATGTCTTTATTTGGCATTAAATTATTGATTTTAGGGTGGCCCATCATGGTACATTTTTAGCAAATAGAATTTAATCAATTTATTTCGTGTGTGTTTATTTTTTTGAACATCAACAAAAATTGCCTTTATTGTTTGTTGTTGATTTTAATAGGGGTTGAATCTCCCTTCCGGGTTTCCTTAAAGTGTTACGGAAGATTTAGTGTTTTGCGGGGGTTGCAGAGCTAATTTATTAAAAAGGGGATATTGCCGTTAAGGCATTACAAAAAAAGGGTAGCAGAAATGAGTTTCCCATGAGCGAATTGAAAATTTTGCAATTTCATCAAAAAAAAAATTGCTAAATATTTTTTCCAATATTAAAAGAAAGTCTGTGGTCTGAAATAATGGACTTCGAAAAATGATCATCTACAAAAACATGTAAAATCATGACAAAATCAAGTTGGAAAGCAAAAATAGAATACCCAGAATAGAAAAATAAACCCAAGGAGACGTAACAATGTATGTGCAAATTTTCAAGGGACATGGACATGGATAAACCGACATAGAATTCTATTGAGGGTTTGCAAATGGAAAGACATATTTAATTTACACTCCCCTTAATGGTGAAAAGTATACAAATTAAAATTAAAAGTTTTTCCTGTTTAAACACCTAAAGGGTGTTGATTGATGAGTTTTAAATAGAATTTGTAATTTTCGGATATTATAATGAGCGGAGAAATAAAGTTGGACGGGGCCGACCATATGACACCCTACACAACTACCATGGAACTCGAACTTTCTGCGGATCTATATTCCGAGCCTGGACAATATTTCGCGATGTTTGCACCCTTTTGACCGGTTGGAGGCCAGCAGCTTCTCTCTAAACAATATCAAAATACGTACACACCAGTAAATATTTTCGTATAACTCCCACATCTGAGTACAATAGAATTAATATCAATTAAAAGGTCAACCATTCCTCCTGAAAATACTATCAACTTCTCGGTTCGATGTTCTTCAGAAGTAAATATATACGTCGTAGAATGTAAAATTTGCTACTTTTCATACAAAAGTCTGGGTCCATGAGATTATCATGAAAAGAGGCAAGGTTGTTAATTGGGCACATCAAACAGCTATTGCAACCCAGTGTTAATGACTTCAAGCAAACTTTTACTTTAATTGTGTGTGTATAGCCTACATATTGCTATATTACAACAGCTAACCTACAAAAAGAAACAAACAAATTAATTCCAAAGGAAACAAAGCAATTAAAAGGTATAAACTATACCATCAACCAACCCAACACCAAAAGTACAACTTAAGCCCCCCAGCAATTAACACTTTTATACGCCTTTAAGTAGTTTTAACTCCCCAAAAAGTGTATGTTTGTATATACACGCCACACACTTTCATCTTCCTTCGAAAGGTAGCCAACCAATTAAAGGGAAATACAACAAAAGAGAGCAACGAAGCATTTGGAAACTTTCACCAAATGTTCTCTTACCCCCAGCCCACGTTAGATGTCAGCAGAAAAATATATGTCCTTAAATCATTAGCTGCTGTGGTGTTATCACTTAATACTTCTTTTCCACTGTTCCAAGTTCGGCTCGATTTTTCTTCTTTTTTGAACGGCCCTGAAAGTAAATGCCATATATAATTTGTTATGGCCT